GATTCACCGAATGATGACCAGAGAAAAAATGGCTTCAAGAAGGGGAAATTAGAGGTAAGCTAGTTATGTTTTTTTTTGTTGTTTTTTTTCAGTTCTCTCCTGACTCTCTCTTCCTTTCTGCCACTTTACACCTCTCAAGCAATTTCCACTTCCCTGAAACGTGCCCCATAAACACAAACAGGACTGCTGAAAAACCTTAGCTGCACCCAATAAAAAGCCAGAAACCCCTCAGCACCCCAACCACCCCCCACCCGGAACCCTGAGCGTCCTCCTGTTGACTGCGGCGCCTCGATGACGTCAGAGTCCACGTACATCATCCATGTAGGTGATGCTTCTGAATGAATGAGTGTCCCCTCCCATCTCCATTGCTAGTACTACGGGACGTCTATAAGAGCAGATCACCGGGGCAGCCCGCCGAATCTGATGATACCGGAAACCGGACAGAAATCCGAACCAGAGCTTTTTCTTCTTCTTCTCCTTTTTTAAATCACGAAATAAGCTTCATCGTCCACGATGCGCTTATATAGAACACAATATGTCTATTTTTTTTCTTGCCTTTATTTTTTATGTTTTTTGTTAAAAGATTTTTTTGAGAAAATCTGGTTATTTTAAGACTCTGATCGAGTCGTAAACCATTGAAACCTCCGCTGGACCGGCGAAGATGATTTTTTTTTGTTTTAAAAAGATAATAAAGGTAAGTTCTATTTTTGTTGTACTTGCCCGTTTTAGTGTTATTATTATTATTATTATTATTATTATTTATGTACTTATGCGCTCGATACGGGCGTTTACCCGACGACAATACTCCACAGATGCGTAACTCGTTTCGAGTGAGATCACCTGCATTTCCCTGTGCGCCTCACTCCGCGGATATACGGTAGATTACAGCGGCTGGAAGTTGCTGCAGTGTGAGTCACTTTGGCGCACATGGGCAGTGACAGCTGTGGAGAGGGGTAGAGGAAGAAAAAAAAAAAAAAAGAAGGAGAGTGACTTGTGGGGTGCAGGCTGGGCTGGTCGCATGTTAACCAGGCCGCGTGTCCGCAGATAATGAGACAGAGGATCACGACATGCGTGCGTGGGTGGTCGGGTGGGTGGGGGGGGAGGGTGGGTGGGGGATCATGTCAGAGTTTTAACCGCGTCGGTCTGCGCGGGACGTCCTAGTTCCATACGTTCCCCGCGCTGCATTAAGCACCGCGTGTGATTGGATGACCCAGTTTCCAAGGAACGAACCTGCATCACGTAAAGTGATCGTTTCTCAAGCGGAGCCTCTTTTTTTTTTTCTCTTCTTTTTCTCCTCCTCCTTCTTATTTTTCCTCATGCTCATGTTCAAATGACACGGTGACGCGCTGCTCGTGGTGAAGTCAGTGCTGCGTCATTCCTGCGCACACGGCGCGCGGCTTCCAATCAACCGGCAGCAAAGCCGGTTAAAGAGACGCGGACGCCCGTGTGCGTGAGCAACCTGCAGCGGCGCGTTGCGTCTCTGCGTACCGGGGGGAGAGAGGGGCGGGGCGGGGGAGGCCGAGTGCCTGATGATGATGATGATGATGATGATGATGATGATGATGATGGGAGAAAAAACAAAAAACTCCCGAAGGTAACTCCTGGAAGAGAGGAGGTGGGTTGATGTGATCAGACTCACAATGAGCTCCGGTCAATAAGCGTCTCCCTCGGTATTTAAATGTTAAACCTGCCGTGTTCACTGGCGGCGTGACGCATGCAGATGATCCGCGTGTCGCTGTCCGCGGTGCTGAACAGCCTGGACTTACTCTGCACGGGAAAACAATGCAACACTGCGGGCCGCTCATAGTACAAAAAACAATAAATAAAGACGTCATCATGTGACTTGTCTCCAGTGTTTATGTATTGACACGTTACGCAAATTGTACAGTCATCTTCAAACACGCTGCTCTCCTTTATAAGTTTCCGGTTTGGTTCGACGACGTCGCAGAGACGCCGTAAACTCCCTGGCATCTGCCTCGCGGAAAAGCGCCCGGCTCTTCTTGTCCAGTCTTTACGGTCACGTCCTCGCCGTTTCGTAAGTTTTGTACTTTTGGTCGCTTCCCGGCCGGAGCCGCTTCGACAAACCGAAGTTAGTCGTCTCAGAGCGCACGGTAAGGACACCGACATGAAGCTGCTCATTGTTGCTTTTTTTTTTTTTTTTTTTTTTTCAAGCATTCCTCAGATTTTTCGTATCTGTAAATAAACTCTCCCCTTAACGCTTTCCATCGTTATCCAATTTGTAGTTCTGGTCGTTTCGTACCCAAAAGTACCCAAATGGACGTTGATTGATGTCAATTTAAAGGCGACTTGAATCGATTTTCTCTGGTCTATTTAAAGTCTACTTTAAGACTGTGTCATTAAGTGAGTCCTCTAAGTAATATACACTAGTAAGAGTTAGTGGAAGATTATGACTCGATTGATCATTAGTCATAATGTTTAGATTTTATAACAACTTGTCTAAAAGGGATTAGAGGAAAAATATACAGTAATTGGGTGAAACACAGATAATTAAAGAAACTTCTGAACAACTAAATTGAAATCGTTTGAGATTTGAGTTTCTTTTTTATTTCATTTTGATAACTCATGAACATTACAAAGAAAATCCAACTGATGCACAATGATTTCAGTATGTAGGTTCAAAATGCTTTGTTGTACAGAATGGAAAGGGTAAAGGTCAAAGGGTAACATGGGGCCCCTGGGGTTCCATTTTATTACTCTCTCAAGTTTGGTATGACAAAAACTGAACCTTAAGTGGATAAAGTTTAATCACCAAAACAAATGAACTGACATGGGAAGAGTTAAAGCACGTAGATACGCAACGGAAGCAGGAAGTGACTCAACAGCAAAACGTGTAGGTAGCTGATGGAGGCAGAGTGCCGACCAGGCCGTCCGTCTCCAACAACACGGATGATGTTTCTACATTGGTTAGAACTGCAAACTTACACATTTACTCATCATAAACAAGTTCAAGTCAGTGAAAACCTGATGACCAATTTCCACTTCAGCTTTCCCTCTCTGGTCAGTTTTATGTCCGCATTGAAAAAAACAAACAAACTTCTCTCTTTGAGCCACTTTTCTTTTTTTTCCTCCTTCTAGCACACAGACAGATCTGTCAAATTGAGCGCCCGGGCGAACTGCGATGTCCTGACGTCAGCTCCACAGATACCCAGCCGGGCTTGCATAAGCTCCCGGCATCGGCCCCGTCTCCCTGTGTTCCTGTCTGGGCCCCGTCTTGCGGCTGACTCATCCATAACCGGCATGGAAATCGATACGACAAACACGACAACAAGTGGGCTATGTAACTGTCCTGCCTGGCCGTGCGTATGACAAGCCTCAGGGCCTCTGCCAGTGGTGTGTGTATGTGTGCATGTGTGTTGCTCTGAGCATCGTGTCACTCGGTGGTTTTGTTTAAATCAAAACTAATTTGCACTTTACACCTTTCATTTGTTAGTGTGGCACGGTTATTATTCAAAAAATAACAAATAAAACAAGGTTGGACCTTTTGCACCTCCCCCTTTTTGCATGTCACCGGCTCCCTCCAAGCCACTTTGCCTCAAGTCAGAGCATCAATACCTTGGCTCTAGACTGCTTACTGCTAAACCTGACCAGAAGTACAGTAACAGTCTACAGTCATGGCTACTGACGCCTGGCGAACCTCTGCACGGCGAGCGTGACTCTGATGAGCTGCGTGAAGCACCGAGGCTGCACACACACACACACACACACACGCAAACACACACAAATGTGTCGACGTCAGCGGTTACCACAGCCAACCCTCCTCTTCCCTCCTGCTGTCTCCATGGTAACCGTGGCATTAGATTGTTACTGTAGCAACAGCACCACTGGTAACAGTCTACAGCCATGGTCGCTAGGGGGCAATACACACACCCAAAACCAGATTATTGGCGACACGGAGGAAGAGACTGCATGTTTTAATGTCAGGGAGTCAAAGCGGGACTTATGTCATGCATTTGACAAACTGAAGCGTCTGATTGGCGGTCGGCTGGATTCAGAATGAGATTATCTTGACGTTTGAAGTGGATTCATGTGGCTGACAGCTGCTGCTGATTCCACTATTTTAACCTGGTTTTTATGAATGTGTTCAAATTCTTCCTAAAGAATTAATTCTTTCTAAATAAACCAAATTAAACCACAAGCCCCTGAGAACTGATGGGTTTTTCCTGTGTTTTAATGCATTTTTCTTTTCGGTCACGGCGTAAAATGATGTGTTGATTATTCTGGCATAGCGACGCTCGGTCGTAGTCTTTTCACTGACTTTTGTTCCTGCGAGCTCCGGCGAATTCAAGCAGGACACAAACTCTTCATGCCAAATTGAACAAAAGCGCCTGATTATAATCAGCTAAAATTTTAATACCAGTGATTGACGCAGTGATGAAAAAAAAAGCATAATAATAATAATAATAAAAAAGAAAGATTACCGTCTTTGCAATCCTTCAGCAGATATTGGCTGCAGATGATTAGAACGTCCTCATAATGTGTGGAAGAGTGAACTTTAGCATTAAAGTTCATGCCGTTTGAAGTTAAACAGATGAGGAAGTGTTGAGAAAAAGTCCATTAATTATTGAATAATGTTCGACTCTGTGCTAGAATGTTTTATTTATTGTCTAGACGTACTTTGAAACAAAAAAAAAAAAAAAAAACAGAAGCAAATTCTCTTAGATGTTCTATCAGTGAATGAGGTTGAAAAGTTCCTTTATGAAAATCAAGTAACAAAAATGTCTGAAAATGTCTAAATACGATTGAAGCCGTCTGGTTTTTAAGGGGATTGTTCTGATAGTAACTTTAAAACAATTGCTGTCTGACCTTGTGTGTGTGTGTGTGTGTGTGTGCGTGTGTGTGTGTGTGTGTGAGAGAGAGAAAAAGGATTTTTCTACAGGAAGAAGTGTTACATTTTATTTGTCTGAACGGTAAAGAAGTCACCATCATGAACATGGATAAGTTTACATTTGTACTAAATGCTGATTTTCTTGCACAATAAAAAAAAATGATGCATAACAAAACAGGATGGAAGATTTTTTCCAAAAAGTTTTTGAGGTGTTTATTTTTTTTTTTCCTTTGAAAGAACAAAGGTGAAACATCAACATCATGAAGATGTGGCATTTTTTATGAAAATAATTGTCAGATAAAACAGTCTGATTATGTCATCTGTTATCTACCAAATCCTGTTTGTGTCTTTCTGGAGTTACTTTATGGTTATTAATTTTGGATCAAGTACTTTTTTTTTTTTTGCTTTTGGCTTAAAGATTCCCCTTTAAGTAAAAAAAAAAAATCCATCCAATCCTAAACAGCATCCGGTATGTGGCTAATAGAAACTTTGGTTAGCAGCTCAGCCATTTAACAATTTAGTATTTTCTATGAAAAAGAACTGAAGTGATCTTTTTCATAACTGAGCTGATGTGAAAAAGTAGTTTAGTTTAAAATCCTTTCATGCCCCAAGGATTTAAACTCCCCGAAAATAATTTTACATGCACATTTCCTATTTACTGGAAATCAGAGACTGAAAAACAGAAGTCAGTCTCTGAATAATAAGCAAAAACAAACTTAAAATATGATATAAATATCACACTGATTGACGGTAAGGTAATCTCAGTGCATGCAAACGTCTGAAAAAGAAAAAGTTTTATTGAAAATTTCTACCTGAGTAAAGCAATAAAGAAAGACATAAAATATTACAAGAATAAAGTCATTCTCGTAGGACTACGACTTTATTCTCGTAATTTTATTTTTTAAAAATACTAATACTCCATCGTATTTCTGGTCCTCATCAAACAAAATACATTTAGAAATTGTAAGAAAGCTAATTCAGGGAACGATTAGTATGATCTAAAGTCAGAGAATGAGAAAGGAAAAGGTTTTGTACGCTTTATGTAGAATCTGGTTTCTAAGGTTTCAACATTTCTCCTGCAGCTCCACAGGTCAAACAGCAGCACTGTGGAGTAAGTCAGTTGAAAAAGATGCCGACGTCTGTGAGGCTGGTGTTCTGGTGGCACTTTGGCCGGATAATCTGGGACAGGCTGACCTCCTACGCAGAATTAGTCATCTCTTTACAACACTTCTTTTTTTTTCTTCTTCTTCTTTTCACTAATGACTTATTCAACCTTCTAGCAACCTTCCGCCCCACTGCTGCTTGGCCGTCCAGGCTTTATCTTCTTGTTCTTCTCTCCTACACACACACACACACAAACACACACACACAGTTAGCAGCCTCTACTCATGATTATTGGTCGAATCTTCACTTGGAGGCTGTAGTTTGTTCAAAGTGGCAAATGTTAAAGAACTAGATTGCTTTGCAATAAACGTAACAGGCTGTTTGGTTAAACAACTACAGCTCAGTTCATCTTTGAACAGATTTGTTTTTTCCAGCTTGTTCTGCACAGAAAAAAAGGCGCCTGCAGTGGATGTGTGTTATACTCTCCAGAAAATTGTCTCGGAAATGCACAAATCACAGAAAGAAAACGCAGCGACTTCTCTTACTGCAGCTCTTCATCCGAAATTGAAATTGCACCTGCTGAGCCGCGTCAGACCTCCACTATCACAGCGAACAGAGGTTCTCTGCTGTGAGACAAACATGTGGGGCTTTTCTTTTCTCCTTCACGTTTTTCTCTAGGCTCCTCAGCCTCGCGCGGCGTTCTGACAGACGAGAGAACAAACCGCTTTAAACAAATCGCTTTCTGGAATCCAGAAAATGTCAGCCGCAAAAAAGGAAAGAAATCGAAGAAAATACATGAGAAAAACGGCGTCTAAGGACAAGGTTGAAAGAAGACGCTTTATTTATTTATTATATATAATGTCTGTTCATCCGTTAATATATCTGTATGTATGTGAGAGTTTTTTTTAGAGTTGAAAAAAAGAGACAAAAACTTCAACCTGTCTTGATGAATGAGTGTTAATTGCTGATTCATTTCGTATTTTCAGTACAAGGATGCCACACAATTCCATTTTAAAAAAAAGTACTGCATAAACAAATGATCTCAAACAAAAGGCTGGTATTTTGCAATTACTTCTCAACAGGGTTAAAATCACGCCGCCTGACATGCAGAGGGTTGCTGACCACCTGGGGTCAGCGAGAGCCGGCGGTGACTCAGCTGTTCCTGAGTCACAGACACAAACAACTAAACGCATCGGGAGAGACGGCGTGGTTTTCCCTCCTATAGGTAAGAGAGTCATGTGAAGGCAAGCCACGTAAAATGTATGTAGGTGCTAATTATGAATTTATATAAATATGGGTTCATTTCCATCAACTGCTTTTGTCCTGGGAATGAACTGAATTGCCATTTTGTTTCAGACTGTCAATCATTCAGAACCACACAGTCAAGGTGAATTTGTGGCCTGCCGTTTTAAAACACCTGCGACTTTTTTTTCTTTTCTTTCTTTTTACTCCATATCAAAACTGACAAACTCTCAAGAGTTGAAAAGAGTGAATTGACAGGTCTAAGTTGTGAAACGGTGACGTTCGGAGTCGAGTTCCTGCGCTGTGCGGGAGCAGGGAAACAAGTAAGCGATGAAAACCCACCATGTCAGAGAACGTTCACTTTGCCTGGTCTCTCCAGAGAGAAGTCTGCAGGCAAACAGCGACACTCAGTGGTCGTTCAATAACTGACACGACGAGATGTTCAGATGGCACATGGATTACAGCGACGTGGGAAGGGAACTCGAGTGAGAAAAGATAAATGACATAATGTCCTGAAGGAAAACGTTACATAACACTTTCCGTATCTTCATCATCCATGTTCCAGTTGTTGGAGCTGGTGATTGCAAGGCATATATTTATGAATGTTATGCAGTACATAAACCCTGGGTCGGAGTTGCAAAGGTTACACTTTCTAATTATTAGTTTTTTGTGACGTCTGAATGTGCAAAGTTGGTAGAGGAAAAGAAAAATAACCTGCAAATAATACACGAGAAATTTTGATACACAATTGATAAGACGTTGGTATTTCAATCATTAAAAGTCGACCACAGAACAACATTGACTTAAAGACAAGTTTTGAACATTGGTGAATTGACTAGACGTGGATGATTGATGTTTGATCCACCATCAGTGATCGGCCTTAGCAGAAAAAAAAATCAACCTTTCTGATCATAATTTAACGCTGAATTAACTTCTTTAGCTATTCGCATTGTTAGCTGATTGATAAGCTCAATCAACTTTAGATCAACTCATTAACTGATAAATTGGATCCCTAATAAAAGGTTTTCAAACTGCTTTACAGTACAGTGTGAAATGACGGGTTGAACATGATCCTAAAACAAAGTCTCAGTGCTCTGAAAGAAGTTCAAAGCCTGGAATATTGCTTTATGAACCAAACTCTAGGTTAGACAGCTTTATCCCGAATCAGCAGGGTATGTTCCTCGTCTTTCATGATGCCGTTTGTTCTCTAATAAACGTCTGAGGTCTTCACAGCACAGCTGGATCAAACTAGACCGACGGGACACTTTTACAGCTAGAAGTCTGGATTCTTTGAAGTAAATCTTATGCATTTTATGCAGATAAACTTTATCAGTTTTATATTTGTAATAACTTTTAAGACAAAATGTGAAGAAGCTCAAGGGCAATAGCTAATTTTGTAACTAAAGATGTGCAAAACATATTAAATCTGATATTTATAAGGTGTCACATTATGAAACAACGCGAGGAACAGATACATCCAACAATTACATTCTGGCAGATTTTCACTCTTGCTGTTTAATATCGCTGAGGGCCGAGGGAAATGAAAAACTAATAACTGTAAACTGTTTGTTTCAATTCCTTTGCTCGTGAACAAATCCACGTTAAAAATGTGGCTATAAGCAGCTAGAAGTTGTACAAATTCCAAACTATTATAAAAGTAAAATTAGCAAAATTGACCTTTAAATGACACTTTTGTTTCACAAAAGCTGTATTTAGAAATCAGTTTATATTTTATTGATTTCAACTTCAGATTAAAAGCAGTGCACTTTATATGGGGTAGGAAAAGAGGATTTATATATAAAAATAAAAACCCTCACTTCTTTTTCCTGACAGGATATGCTAAAAAATAAATAAAACATCAGCTAAGAGACAGAAAAAAAAATAAGAGCACGAGAGAGAGCACACTCTGCTGGTCAATAATTTATTCCTGACCCCTCCACTGAGGATCACAGAGTCTGCGATGGGGAGTACAAAGCGCTTTAAAATATCCGCCACTAGTGGTGGGGGATGTGCATCACGAGAAATATTGATAACTGGCGGGAGAACTGCATCACGCCGACTTCTTGTTGCCGAGGAGAACAGATGATGAATCTGACAAGAGAAGCCTGCTAGTAGCTGCAGCCGCATGAGCCCCAAAAGACAACTCTATACACCTGAGACAGGAGCCAGTGATGTGAGGGAAGTTTCACAACTTCTTCCTCTGAGGCCGCAGCCGGCTACTGTCAATCACTTACTGCTGCAGCGAAAACAGCAATATAGTGGGGCTGTTTTATTTTTTTTTCATTTTCTTCTTTTTTTAATTTATTTATCGACAGGGTCCAACATCAATAAATAATGAGGATGGAGAGCAGTCGTGACTAGCTCTGGCTCACATCCAGGAACTTCGCAAACATGTGCGCTGCGTTTGAGAACGACCTCACCGGGTTCAATTTCTGATTTATTGTGCTGGAAACGGGCGTGGGCAAAGTGAGCCAGACAACGTTGATATTTTTCTGCCCTCAGAAGTGCCTCCCCACCCAAAAAAAAAACAAACAAAAAGAAAACAAACAAAAAAAAACATCTGAGTGGCTTGGGAAATGTCAGGAAAATTACAGCACTTTACGATAAAGCGGGCCGCGTTTGACTGAAGACGCCCACGTCGACAGACTTCTATTCCATATGGCGCCGCTCAAGGTCGGCTCCCGGTTCTTTCTCTCCGTCACAAATGTCTGTGCTGAAGAAAAGGTGAGGAGGGGAAGTGGAGGGTGCAATGCAGGTAGATTTAAAGCTAATAAAGACCTCCATTATGAGAAAGAACCCCTCAAATGAAAAAAAAGGCATAAATGTGAGTTTGTTTGATCTGCTGGGATGTGATTAGGGATTAGATCTTGCTGCTAATCCTGCTAATGAGGACAAAAACTCTTCTCTCTTTGCTTCTCATCAGGTCCACTCCACCTCCCCGTCCTCTCCTCCCTCCCCTCTGACCTCTTTCTCTCTGTAGAAAGAGGCAGGCATGAGATGAATCACTGACAGCCGCGCTCACGAGGCTGTCGTTCCCTCTTCACATCCGCAGGGGGCGCCCCGACTCCGCTCGCACGTCTTGGTGGGAAGGGCTGGCTCCGTGCCTTGTTTCTGCAGGCAGGTGGTGGGACAGCATTAACACTTGGAACAGTGACAGTACCTACCTCAGACAGATTAGTGGGAATATCAGGCTTTATGGCTACTGTGGGGTAGACTAACAGAGCTGCGTTCCAATTGAATTTTAACAGCGGAAAAACGCAAAAACTGCATGAAGGTCAAGGTTAAAACCACACCTTTAGGGGTTGCTTTCTCCTGCTGGTGTTGTGCCGCTGCTGGGCCACTGGGTGTCAGTGTGGCAACATCAAATTTAGCCCCAGCATCCATCTTTACCCTCCTTTTTGTTTATTTTATTTTATTCTCTTCCCCCTGTTATCTCCGAGCCGTGCTCACCTGGGCGTGTCTCCGAGCGGGCCGAGCCGGCTGGTTTTCAGGGTGGTTGGGCGCCCATGGCCCCAAGCTCTGATTGGAATAGAAGTCCATCGGATACACTTCCTCCCAGCCTACTTCCTGCAGAGCAACAGCCGCCTGAGGAGAAGAAGGAGCAAAATAAAACCCTCAAAGAAGCGTCCTCAGTCTCTCGTTTCCAGCCACACTTTGCAGAACAATGAGAAGATGCCACAGACTGAGCAGGACAGGTAGTGTTGATATTAAGCTTGGGTAACACGTAGAGTTGTTATCTCCACGCAGCTGCACTGTGTGACATCACAGCTGTTAGAGGAGAACAATCGCACAAGCAGGACTGCAACGCGACACGCTGGAAGTGCAGACCCGCTCCATATGGACAAGAAGTGATAGTGAATATTGATTATGAATGCAGGAAAGAGCAGCTGAGAGGCTGAACACATGAATAAACATGCAGAACACACAGTTTAATGTGCCACTCGTTACTTCATCCAAATTGATTGCGGTGAGTTGTGTAAAAGGCATTCACTGCGTTTTTCTGAGAATCCAATCAACGCAAATGGGATGGACTTGGTTTGGATGAGTCATAATGACATGAATTATTGTTATTGTGAAGTTTTTGGTTTATTTTTTTTTACAAGTACAAATGTTAAAAAACGTGGCTTCCCCTTGTAATCAGCTCCTCAGAGTTGATACTTTATAGAACTAAAAGATTAAAACTTTTAAGTTTTTTTAGGGTTTGTCTTTGCCAGATTTGCACATGTAGCAGGGATGCAAACAAATAATCGAATTACGATTTAACTGTCAATGAACGGTTTACCAGATTAAAATTAGTTCTATTTGATTAAACAATGATGTCTGTTTATATCAGGAGTTTACAACCTGCAGCTCGGGAGCCACAGTTGGCTCTTTGGACCTTCCACCTCGGCTCTTATTAACTTTGGCTAAAAATTATGAAGAACTAACTGATGTTTTTGTTTATATAGCATATGGAGGGTCTTTTTATTTCTTTTTCCCTACAATATTTGCATAGCATTTGTTGAGAGAAAGGCACAAAAGGTACCAGTAATATGTTGAAAATGATGTGGAATGTGTGGGCTTTTTATTTTCAACATCACTTTCCACCCCACGGAAAAAAATAAAATTAATCCTTGTTTCGTAGGGGTTTAGTCACTTGATGAATTTGTGTTGCTAAACTGCATGCACTACTTGCATGTAACCATATTTTCAAATTCATTAATATTTACTGACTGAACAAACAGAAGAGGAAACAGAAAACCTAACAATCCTGACAGTTTCGGGGCGTTTGAAACATCATTGATTGGAATTAATTGTGGCAGTGATAAATGAATATTATGATGAGAAATTTATCTCAATAAGTGATAAATGGTACAATGAATAGCAGATCTGCTACTTGTTGTTGGTTTATCACATACATTTAGCTATCAAGTATCTGTTAAGACTTCCTGCTATCTTAAGAGACCAGGTTTTTTTGGTGTGGTTTCTGGAACTGACGGTCTGACGGGATAACTCCTGACCCCCGGTTTCCCTGCTGTCCAACTCTGACATTCACCAGACTGAGACCACACAAGTGTTACGGTACATGAACAGTGTTTTGACACTTTGGCTTACGGATAATCTATGTGTGGACACAGACTAAATATCTAAAAATATAGTTTTCAAAGTAATACAATCTTCTTTGTAGTTAAACATATTCTATCAATTTGCCCCACCTGTAAAAATCTAGTAAACATAAACCAAAATAGATGCAGAGTTTAAAAAATAAAATAGGAGTCTTGAAAGATGATTCTGTTAGCAGAACAAATGTGACAAATATCAGCATTCCCTTCATTTCCTTCTTCACCTTTCCTCTCCCTCTGCACCAACAGTCCTTCATTTACTCCACCTGATAGCCGCTGGTCTCCTTCTCTTCCCTCTTTCACACCGAGATCTTCCTCTCTGTTGAAGCTAGCATCTCTCACTAATCCCTGCTCTGACAGGAGAGCCAAGTGTGTATTATTGACTATAAATATAACATGAGAAGCACTGAAAAATAAATGCTGTGTAGTCCCCCTCCCACCACCACTCACCCTTCGCCGTGCTCCCTGCACCCTCCCCGACTCATTCCTCTTCATCTTCATCCTAAACGCCACAGCGTCAGTCTCATAACCATGAGATGAGGCTGAGTTGAGTCTCATCACAACCGTTTAGATACAAATAATTTTAAAGCGCAGACAAACGGCTGCCAGGGAGAGCGACGGCCGAAAGAATACAAAGGGAATTTAAGGAAAGAGATTAGCGCTTAGCTCATTACAACAGGGGCGAGTTTCAGATTTTCTTGTGCACAATTATAAAGCGGAGGAGAAAAAAACCCACCCAAAACAATCCCTTTTTTTTTTTTTAAATGGAAATGCTATTCTCATTCTAGACGGCTTTGCTCTCAAGTGGAAGTGCTTCAAGGAGGTGCATAGTTGCAATTAAACAGAAGCTATTTCTATTCAAGAGAGCAATTTCCCCTACAGTAATTTCGCAAAGAAATCAGTGGCCCATCCAGGAGAGAAATCCTGGTACAAAGTGGTAGTTAGACGCTAACAATGCCAAAAAAACTCCACAAAAGTGTGGTCATTTGCTTGTTTGGCAGCTGCAGCAAACTGATCCTCTCTTCGATGTCCGATTGTTCTCTCTTCCTCCTATTTTTCTTCTAGTTCTTCAAAAAAAAAAAAAAAAATCAAAGACAGCTGCATGAGGGGTGGGACTGTTTATCCAACAGGGGGGGCTGGTCCTCTACTCGTAGAGTTTTCACATGTCGTGCTTCATGGTGTGGCGAGGATGGAGTGAGAGTGACACTCCATCTCGAGCATCAACAGCCCTTGTTGAGAGCCACATAAATTCACTGCCCTTTTAGACTCGCCACTGTAACTTGTCTCCTGTACTTTGATAAAAAGCCTCAAGATGCCAATCTGTGAAAAGGCTCTGTGTGCTTTTAGGAATGCCTGCGTGTGTGTGGGTTTTTTTTGGGGGGATGTGGGGGAAACAGTGACTGGCAGAAAGAAGTTTACCTCATACGGAGACAGCAGGGGTTTGGAGAAAGCTGTTCCCCAGTCGATGGAGAGGCGTGGGCAGGCGATCTGGACCCACCTGTAGCAATACAACAACAGTACAGAAAAGGCAGATCAGTGAGCATTCATGAGTGCAACAGGGTAAACATTTGATTTGTTGAGTTATGAAAGCAAACAAAAACATGTTTGTAGCTGCAGTGTGAAATTTTATAAAGAATGTTTCTTACATATTTGTTAAAATTGTCACCATGTTGTGACAGCATGTTTTGAGACAGATAATCTGTGAAAAGACTGAGCTCCTCCATCAAAGAACCACCAATCAGAACCAAGAGGAGGGTCTTTCCGCTGTCAATCATCCTCATGTACATTGTACTAACGGTGGAGAAGCAACTTATTTTTACAGAAAACCAATTTATCTTCCATCAATGGTGCCTATAGTAACAAACATTAGCATTCACAAGAGGCTATGCTAACAGTAGCGTCTCAGAGAATAAGGGGTTGAAGAAGATCTGATTATTTCCTGGAAGGAGCTTGCTTATTACTTTCCACAAATGATGCAGTCTTTGAGAATTAACCAGGTCAGGAACTTTGTATATCTTTGATTTTATAGATAGTGAGTTCGTGTGATATTTGAAGTTAGCATTATTAAAGGGACAGTATCATCTAAAGTCTGCAGAAGACATTTTCATAACACCCAAAGGTAACAGTTACTTGGTTGTGCTGCAAAATGGAACTATGTGCCTAGAAAATACATACATCCCTTTAATTAGTTTTTCTTTTCGCATATGTGACACTGCAGCTATAAACATGTATTCTGTCTTTGTTCTTTTTTTATGTCTATGTGGACCAAGAGTCTGTTGAAATAAAGCAATCAATCACTCTTATGACTCCGTTTTTGTGGTATTGTTAGTGATTTACTTGTACATGTACAAGTGTTATCTATGCCTCGGCACAGTAACTCAGATATGGTCAAACGTGAAGCTGTGATGAAACGTGAGACAGAAAGTTGCGATTAGAAAGGCAGGGCGCATCTGCAAGTGCACGCTGCATGAGAATTTGTGATGTAGAGGGGAAAGCCTCCCTCCACCTGAAAACCAGCATCTGTTGGTGCTGATGTGTAGCACTTCCTAAGATGGCTGGACCAAAATAAGCAACAACGAGAAGGTAAAGAAAGCATGCAGAGGTCTAGTCCTGACCGGCTGCGGGAGGCATCAACATAAAAACAAAACAAAACAGAAGAAAAAAAAAGGGGATATCATGGGTGAATAGAGAGGAGGAGGGAAAAAATGCTGCGAAAGAAAAGAGGGAGAGGTTAGGTGAGTGTGAATAAAAAAGCTACAAGAGCTGGTCTCCACGGAGGTAGCCTACATAGCTCACAGACAGGGTGGTGGGGCTGTTTCAGAGAGATGGGGAGGGGGTAGGCAAAAAAAAAAGCAAAAGAGAGAAGGAGAGACATGAGGAGGAGAGAGATATGCAGTGATAGAAGAAAGACCAAAACAGGAGGAGTGGTCAAAGAGGCAAAGACAAGAAGGAGCGAGAGACGTGGTGGGAAAAAAAAGGGAGGGAGAAGATTGTCAGGGAGGAAAGTGTTTACTCTGGAAAATGCATGAGAGGAAGGAGGAGGAGAGTGTGGATGTAAACAGCTGCAGGGAGGAGTGAACAATGGGGAAAATGAAGACGGAAAGCAGCTGGGGGTATAAGGGTTAAGTTTCACAGATCAATGCTATCCACAGCTCCATCTCTGCCGAGGCAGCATGTCTTACTTTGTCCCTAATCCTTATCACACAGCTCCGCAGGAGATACGAGCAAATATGGATTTACCTGCTGCACCGGAGAAGGAAAAAAAGCAAAAACAACCAAAAACTCTACATGTAGGTTAATTTCAACTACAACATACCAGCCTGAGAGATGGGAGAAAAAGGATTCAAGGCAACGAAAAGAAAAATAAATATAGAATTTGCTCATGTGAACCTTACTGCGGTAAATCCCAGCCTCTTTTGTTCGTTCCTTGTTTTTCCAACTTTCACAGTTTCTCAGCTGCAGAGCAGACTGCGCCACACTCAGGCTCAGCCTTCCTTCTCGGAAATATTTCTACACCTCCTAGGCAAAATGTGATTTTCAAATTATGTAGATTCTTCTCTCCCCAAAAATTTGTATTCGTCTTTCTAATTCCGAAGTCGACCGAGTCAGAGACGAATGCACCAAATATCAGCCTCTTAACACATGGGTCTGCTGACTTTAGGCCAAGAGTGAAATGGAAAGCACAACCTTTAAGTCCAGTAGCTGCTCTAGTTACATCCCTGTGAATGTTGTAAATCCGGTGACTCAGGTGCATAAGAGAAAAAATGTCAGATTGTATGTAAATTGTTGTTTACTCTCCAAAAACACAAGTTTTTTTTTTTTTTCTGGTTTCTAGTGCAAATATAATAACACAATTGAAATACAACAAAACTAACTTACAAGTAAGTTATATAAAAGCACTAGTTTTAAGTCAATAATTCCTTTGTACTAGTTTCACTATAGATTGTCTCACTTTCAAAGTGACACAATGTTTTGTTATAAATTAAATAATCTGCAAGAGGAACAACTACGTTCAATATTAAGGAATTATTTACCTGAAACAAGTTCCTACATCTTGCTAGTAAAAAGGTTACTTATGAGTTTTTTTTTTGTCATATTTCAAGTGTATCGAGATATTTGCACTTACAGTAGACCAAAATTACTTGGTATGTTTTCGTGCTTTTGAAGCATAAGCATATTTTTCCTTCATTTACATTCATTCTTTTGCCCATTATTATTTGCACCTCATTTAATAATTCTAAATTGCTTCTTCTCGATATGAGTAAAAATGGTGTTATATTTCTAATAAAAGTGACAGATACATTCTCTTGTACAGAAATTCGTACTATCTTGATATTATGTCTGACAATGCAACATCAATCTGTTTCACCAGAACCTTTGATTAAGGTCAACAACAACTAGTAAATATTTGTTAAGTGGGTTAGCAAATGACACGTTTCAACTAGTTAACTAAAAATGTCATAAATCAATCAATCAATCAATCAATCAATCAATCAATCAATCCAGAGACTAAATGTTTCCCTGCACTTTCCAATGCGAACTAGCTTACATGGCAATTCAGGTTTGCCATGTAATTAGCATCAAATGTCTTTCCCTGGTGAGGAAATCCATCCCCAAAGTATTATCTTGCTTTATTGTGTTTTATTGTGATGATAGTTTGTTCAAGGTCATGTGTCGTTTCTGTTTTTCAAAACATACAAGGTTGTGCATGAAGGCCACATTTTATCTTAGTCTTCCACATAAAATAAATTTTTGGCTTTAACATAATAAGCTGTGAAAAAGCTGAAGGCGTGTAAAGATTTTTGAAAGGCATTAAAGTCATGGATCGGTTTTATTTTAAAATAAATTCCTGTATTTTATAAATTGCTCATCAGATCGTCAGATATCAGTATCCAAAGGCAAAGCTTTTATCTGCAGGCAATCAATAAGTTCTTTAAGTTGAAAAAAAGCTACTCTCTTGTGACACTATTACAGTCTTTGTAAAGATTCCTTTGCACCATTTTCTATAATTTTTCTCGTAGATTTTTATATTACAAAAGTTCTCCCGGATCCTGATTGTAATCTGACTTTTACAGTTCATCTTAATTTCAAAGATTCCCTCCAAATTTCATCTTGCTGAATCTAAAAATCAATTTCAGCAGACAGAAAGCAGTGATACCAGATACAGCCACACCTAATGTCTGAATATCTATAATGAGCAAAGAGTAACGTTTTTATCAATCAGGTTTTTCTGTTTCTATACAGAAACAGGAAAAGGTTTGAGCACAGGCAGGCAGCTTTGATTTGTTGAAACAAAGGGAAGGTATGCAGCTTTCCTTGGCATCAAGCAGGATGGTGGGATGGCTTTTGAGAGGCAGCACATTCAGACTCTGTATCAAAGTAAATGAGATGTGAAGACTGCAGATTCCAATTCCCTGCTAAATAAAACATTCTGTCATTTAAATTTTATCTAAAATGTTTGATCTAAATTCAGTTTAATTCAATTCAGTTTTTCTATATAGCACCAATTCACAACAACATCATAAGGAACTTTGCCAAAAAAAAAAAAAAAAAAAAACAAAATAAGAAAAAAACCAAAAACTCTTGATTTAATCAAATCAGACAGATTCCAAGTCACTTACATACAACCTAACTTTATCTAGTTGATTCACTATTTTTCTGTGCAGTTCAGAGGAGAGGAACATTAATGTTCCAAATCACAAGATTATCATTACAGGTTTTGTTTTGTTATTATGCCTAATTATCAGCCACTAGGTGCCCCTCGCTCAGTGTGTTATGCGCATGGGCGAAGCGACAGCACTGGACAACTTACAGGTATGTGTTGTTAATGAACTGAACTCTGACGGAGTCAGACAACAACAGGATTTTGGACCCTGACCCAAAACCAGGCATGTCGTCCAGAAACAAAAGAACATAAACTTCCTGAATACCAACAAGCCTCAAAACGAGTGGAAGAGAGAGTTTCGGCAAATGTATTAACCGTTGTTGCAAATTAAGGCACTTGCAAACAAAAGTAAAGAGAACAAATAATTTTGCACAATTCATTTTTGTCAAGAGTCCAAAGAGTAAAATAAAATAGCCATGATTTATCATTAGCACTTCAAACACAATATCATGTCATTATTTATCATTTTCTTGGGTCACTTCCTGAGAACCTTCTGAAAACAATCCATTCAAAAGTGGATGCTGGTGCACGGGGTGGTAATGTGCAAAGACTTCTGAATAGGTGTGATTGACTTACAAATGTAGAGTCTGAGATTAAAGTAAGACAAAAAGCATTAATGAGTAGACAGAAGCCTGCTTTTAAGGAGCAGGAAGTGGAATGAAAAAGAAGGACCAGAGGTTTTCAGAAAGAAAGATTTAGTAAAACAGTGATGCTGATCAATGTGTTGGTACTGGAGAAATGGTCTCCGTATTTTCCTCAGCTCCAAATGAATCTCATAAAATCAGAATATTGCTGAATGGAAATGCAGTTTTCATGTTTACAACAGGATGTGG